AATTATACATGAGGTTGTATTATACATGAGATCGAATTATACATGAGGTTGTATTATACATGAGATCGAATTATACATGAGGTTGTATTATACATGAGATCATATTATACATGAGATCGTATTATACATGAGGTCATATTATACATGAGATCGTATTATACATGAGATCGTATTATACATGAGATCGTATTATTCATGACATCATATTATACATGAGGTCGTATTATACATGAGATCGTATTAGACATGAGATCATATTATGCATTAGATCATATTATACATGAGGTTGTATTATACATGAGATCATATTATACATGAGATCGTATTATACATGAGATCATATTATACATGAGATCATATTATACATGAGGTTGTATTATACATGAGGTCATATTATACATGAGATCGTATTATACCAAATAAATAAGGTATTTCTACTTGTTGAAATACCTTTCGGCCGCTGTCCCAGATTCCTGTTACTGTGTTCTCTGGGACTCACCGCCTCATCAGGGCTCTACGATCCYGGTTTGATTATTCTGAATAAATAAATGTAGATTATTGGTTTTTAATCACTCCCACGTCCATTCAGTTCACAGCTGGTCCACCTTTTATCCACAMAAAGAAGAGATGCTTCACTGAGTGGAAAATCAGAAAGAGCATAAAAGCCGGAGCGTTAAAGGTGTTTCTGAATGAAAGTRTCTCTGTTTATCMTGTTTTTTTACGTCCCTGTTGGTATGGTAACAGAGTACAGTCTCTGCGTGGCCTCGACTGTCAGCGAAACCAACAAAACATCATTATTTCCCTCAGGACGCCCGAACACAAAAACTGCAACAAAGCAGAAGATTGACACGGGTTTTTATTTCAGATATGAACAAATGTCTCTGGTGACTCACGTATAGGAGGAGAACAGAAGCTGTGGAGTGGAGAGAGAGAAGTTAACAACATAAACCAACAGCAGCTGAAAGGAGGAATTTCTTTCTGCTCCACTGAGTCTGTCCAAACACAAACTTTCCTCTTTGACTTAAAAACTTTCAATTAATTCTCTGCTCACAGAAAACCCTTCCTGGCCTCAGATGCTGGCTTTTTATTTAAATTACTGTCATTTAAAACACATTTGAGTTTAGTTTATTCTGAAGTTCTGCTTCACAAGTTCTGAAGTTTTAAATTAAAAACGTTCATTTTCATTCTGGATGTTTTTCTCTTAAAGAAGTAGAAATGTTTTGTCTTTTTTCACCAACATTTAAAGCTCATCTGTAACTGAACATTTTAATGTTTTTAAAAATATCCACTTCCTGTACCTGCTGCTCCTTCCTGGGCTGCAGGGGCCTGTGGCCTCATCAGCAGCCAGTTCCAAAATAAATAAATGGTGCTCAACGTCCAATAAGATCATTTTAGAATCGATAAATTTGAATCTATTTAAGTTTATTCACTTCATTAAAAAC